GCATAAACTCAACCACTATGCGCCACTGGGCCAGCCCCTAATTTTTGTTGTTTTAATGTATGTGATCTTCTCAATAAACCTAACTAGGAGGGACTTTTATTAGACTCTTTTTACAGATGAGAAAACTGAGGCTTAGAATAGTTCAGTAACTTGCCGAAGGGCACACAGCTAGTCAGTAGTCAAACCAGGATTCAAACCTAGGTCCTTAGCCCCAAAGCTGGTGTTCTTTTTAGTAAGTTACTAATATTATGGCCAGGTCAGCCTGCTGCCTAACCGAAGTGAAGCGTGTATGCCTCCCCTGGACACCCAGCAATGGCGTGGCTGTCCCTATGAGGGGCACGTCTCCCAACCTGGGATATTACTGTGATTACTATACAAATTTCTGAGTGTGCTGGGGGCTGGGGAGAAGGCCACTGGAGATACTGTGGAGACAACCCGTGCCAGCCCTGAAAAGTCAACAGACTGGGAGAAAGCAGAAGCCAAAGAATGCCAGCATGGGAAAAGCTGAGAGCCATACTTCACAGAGGCCTACCACAGTATGCGACACTCCTTAGCGGGAGGGGCACACGCAGGGTTTGGAATCTGCCACTTATTAGCCGAGTGACCTTGGAAAAGTGATTCTCTTCTCCACAGGGTCCTAGTGTATCCCCTTGAGAAGCGGGGTTGATACTGTAATGTCATGAGGCTGTTCTGAGGACTTAATAAGCTGACATAAAACATATACTGACTGTGATATAGCTTGCACAAGGTCTGGAGTTGGGAATAATGTTACTATTAATATTGTGCTAAGCTCTGATTGCAGATAGAAGACGACTCAGGGCCCAGAGGAAAATGCCCAGAGAGCCTGGCACCCTAGAGAGCCAAGAGTCTGGGATGAGGAAGGCTCCACTTCTCTTCTTTTCATGGACAACTACACGCCGCCTCCTTCAGAAGAAACAATGATGCTGTGCTTTCCTCTTGGCAAAACCCTGACCCCCTGGTGATTGACCTGAGATGTCAGAGCAGCCTAATTTTTCCCGCCATGAATGGAACTGGCCAAAATAGAGAAGTGAGTGCTGACCTCTCCACTGGCAGGAGGTAAAGGGACAGTGAGGCAGCACTATGTCCCTTTCCAGAGAAGATGGCCCCTCCTTTGCTGCAAGAGGTGCAGAGAACCCTGGATAACACCCACCTCACAGAACACTCTGCAGAGCAAGTACCCTGTATAAACAAAGGCAGAGGATCTGCCTTCTTTTTATTTTCCAAAAGGCACAATATAATATAAAGTGGAGTAGGATGTCAAGTAGACAAAACAAAATAATAATCCACAATTTAATTGAGCACATACTACATGCTAGACCTTGTGTGAGAGATTTGTAAGTATTATCTTATGTAATCCTCACAATTATCCTGCAAGGAAGAACTTTTCATTATCCGCATTTTACAGATGAGGAAGCATTTATAACTTGCAGAAGCACTAAGTGGCAAAGGCAGGACGCAGACCGAGATCTCTTCTGGTTCAGAGCCCACAGGCAAGGAAAACCAAAGGTCAAAATGCTGGATTTGACTCCAGGTTCTGCCTCCTTCATCCTCGCCTATGACCTTAGGTGTCTTTGGAGGAAATGGAGGAAGGCGAATGGGTCCCTTCCTGAGTTGGGTCACAAGAGCAGAGCTGAGAGTTGGGTGGTGCTCATTACACATGGGCTTAGAGATAAAGAGATGAGGCTTAGAATAGAGGCCAGTGCAGGCCACGAAGCTGTGAGAAGCAGGAAGAGGCCTAGTCAATGAGTTATTTCTGGCCCCAGTTCTTTCACTACTAATACAGCTCTGTGGCCTTTCTATAAAATGTCGTTTTTTGTGAAATAAGGGTGGTGGGGAAACAGAGGAGAGACTGGATGGCCACTGAGGCACCTTCCAGATCCGAGTTTTTGCCGTGCACTAGAGGAAGTCTACAAGACCAAACCACTCCCCAAACAGATGTCAAAGGCACTGTGTTCTCAGGAATCTCTGCAAATAACACACTTGATTTTGCCAAGATAGAAACAGCCACAAGAATACACTTCACTTTGCCAGAAAAAAAATAGCTATAAGAATAATTCATGCATGTAATGTTCTCCTCTTATGCTCGATGTAACTATGAATTAATTCTCAGAAGGACACAATGAGAGACTACAATGGCAATACCAAAATGACAAGCCTCTTTTTTCCAAGAAAAGAATGGTTACCCCTTTATATAAAGGATCTCACTAAAATTCTCTTGGATGCATACCAGACTCACAGGCATTTGAGATTGGAAGGAAATCTAAAGGTCAATTGATTCGACTTCCCATTGGGTGCCAAAGTCCCCTCCACAATGTCTCTCAGGGGTATCGAGGGGAGGCCTTAAGGATAAGAAGCCTGACAGCACTTAAAGCTGCCTATTGCACTCATTGGGCAGCTCTGATCTTTTCCAAGTTCTTTCTTATACAGCCTACAGCTTTGGTTCCTCCTCTGCACCTTGTGGCCGTGCAGACCATGCTTAATGTTCCTTCACAACAGCCCTTCAAAAATGTGGCCCCGAGTCTTCCATTCTGCACAGGTGTCAATCATTCTGTACTTATAAAAACAATATGACCACTGAGGCATTGCTGTTTTTGTTGTTGTCCTTGTTTTTTTAAGACAGATTTACTTGATCCACAATTATTCCAAGATGATTACTCCTCAAATAACCCAAAGTGTGCATTTTTCCAACTTATATTATGAGCAACACTGAACGCTGATTATAATCAACTTGCTTTCATAACAAGAAGGAATAAATCAAAAAATAGACTTTATGAGAATCCACTGGGCTAAAAGTATCACCAGCAAGCATCATGTTCCCAGATAATCAAGGAAGAACTGTGAGCATACACTTCTCCACCACTGCCCATTCCTCACTGGAATTTAAATGACCAGCTTTCAAATCACAGAACCATAAAAATCATCTAGCCACAACCTCACATTTTATGATGTGGAAGCTGAGGCCCAGATATCCCATCTCTTTCTCCTTGCCATCCCAAAATGTTTATTAATTTTCTGTACTGAGTTAGGCACTGGGGTACCAAGGCACCAAGAACTGGGGCTATCAAGGCACCAAGCCCCTGCTCTCCCAGGTCTCTGAGCAGGGGCTCACAAGGCAATGCAATTCAAGGGATTTAAAATAGGTGGGGGCATATTGTTGGGGTAACCCAATGAGAGGCATTTGGAAACTTGTACAAAGGCCTTGGAAGATGAAAGATTATTTCCTTCCTCTGTGTCTTTGCTCAAATTGCCCCTCCAACTGGAATACCTGCTCCCTCTCTTTGTTTGGCAAACTCATCCTTTAAGACTCAGCTCAGATATCACCCCCCCACACTTTCTCCCCAACTCCCCCTTTAGCTGCCCTCCTCCTTCATGCTCCACAATACCTTGTACAAATCACACTCATTGAACTTAGCATCACGTACTGCCCTTATCCTTCCCGTGTCGATCTTCTCTGTTAGACTTCAGATCCTGGAGTTAGGGAACTGAGTATTACTCAGTTTTATGTGTCTAGTCTAGTTCAGTTGGCATGTACTGAGTTTGATGAATGAACAAGTAAACACATCAGCAAAGTCTTAAGGGTTAATAGGAGTTTGTCACACACAGAATGAGAGAAAAGAATTCCAGGCCCAGGATGCTGCATGTAGAGACACAGTGCTCTGAAACGGTGTGGTGTGCTTGGAGAGCTGTGCCGAGTTTTCATGGTGGGAGTGTTCGGGGTGGCAGAGGGGGCTGTGGGAAGAGTGACCGAGACTGGGGCTTGGGGGTCAAGTTTGGGCCAGATGTGGAAAAGTGTACAGACGTTATCCTGTAGTTAGGGTGGAAGCAAAACGTCTTTAGAGAGGGGAGTGACATGATGCAATTTGTTTTTAAGGTCACACCAGTGGCCACAGGAGGAAGCACTGCACTGAGGACAGACACAAGACAGGAGGGTGCGTTTGGCACCTACTGCATGATCCAGGACATGGGGAGGGTCTGTATCAGGGGCGTTGTGTCCCAAGAGCTCAGGGAGAGCTCTAAGGGTAGAAGCAAAGTGTGGACTCAGGTTTAAGAGTTTAGGTGAAACCAACAAGATTTGATGAGTAACCTGAAGTGTGGGAGAGGGGGAAGAAGCATCAACAATGAGGCCAGGTTTCTAACTTGGAACCCCAGGCAATACAGACAATGTTAATAGAGACCAGGACCATGTGAAGAGGAACAGTTTGGGGGAAAGATTCTGAGGTCATTTTTGGAAAGATTCCTACGACAATCTTTCCAGTTGATTTCTATAGGTCCAGAGCTACCTCGTAAACTAAAGAGATAGATGAAGTGCTAGAAAATCCATCATGAAAACCTAAAGAGTACAAGACAAATATTTTAATCCTCACAGAGACAGATGGAGCAATTCTGATGATTTGAGGGCAAAAGAAACAACTTCAGACGAGAAATCTTCTGGTTCTTAAAACTACTAACCACTTCTCAACTAGGTACGTTGGCAGTTGCATACAACATATTCTCTAGGCAATCTGATTCCACATCTTTCTTACTTTCTGGACTCAACTGAGTCATTTTCATATCTTTTAAAAAATCATTATTACCAGCTGGCTAATGGCCTCACACCATTTAGCGGGTCCCAGTCACCAGGGAGAATTCAGTTTAAATTAATTAAGTGGCCCCACTCAGCCATTTTATTGACTAACGACCTCAATTTTTACTCATCTTTTCAAAATGCTAGAAGGTCCAGATATTGCTGGGGAGAAGCCCACAGACACACTCATGAATGAATCCCTTCTGCACCAAAAGTGACCCATCTTTTAATCTAGCACATTCCTTTTTCCCTCATTTTACAGCAGAAGCTCTGAAGAGCAAGCAATAAACAGAACCTCTATAGAACAAATTGCTCCACTTAAATATACAGCGCAAGGACTTTCCCGGCCCACGTGGTTATTCTAAGCGTGCAGGGACTGTTCTTGGTAGAAAAGAAACTGAAACTGCCAGCTCACCCTCTTCCTCAAGTTGTAGGTGAGAATGAGGTTCCGGGAGAAGGAGTGGGAGAAGGCCGTGTAGAATTCTAGCACTTTCTGCAGGGCATCCCTTTTGATCACATGCAGGTCACAGTAGGTCAAGGCTCTAACGTTGGCACAGGACTGGGCCAGGGTGGCTTCCTTCCAGAACACGTCTCCAAACACGTCTCCTTTCCCTAAGGAGAGAAAGTAGTGATGAGAAAAGTGTCAGCCAGGAGGGGTGCAGCCATCCAGGCTGGCTTCCTTCTGTCTCCCAGAATCGCTGTCCATTCAGCATTCTGCAGCTTGAGGCCATAAAAGGCAAAAATGATTTTAATTTGAACCTTAACAACCTGCAATTTAAGAAGCTTTAAAATACCATATAATACATGTCCAAGTTTAACCAATGACTTTGGGATCATTAATGTTGCCTCCTAAACATCCTATCCAAAATGGTAACCCCTTGTTATTCTTTATCACATTCCCATTTTTCCAAAACACCAATCATTATCTGTCATTATATTATTTGTTTACTTGTTTATTGCTGTCTCCCAACATGAGAGTTCATGGCTCTCATCCCTCCACGTAACACAGTGTCTGGCACATGTCAATATTTGCAGGCAAAGGAGAAGTAGGAAGGAAGGCGAACCGTGGCTCTCCATTAGTGTGACTAACAGAGAGGTGAATATTAGGCTGTTATGGGGAGGGTGTGACTCCTCATCGGGAGCTGAAGAACAGGAGAGGTCTCCTCTGTTTAGGATGATCTACATGGAAGAAGACAGGCGAGAGTGAGTTCATCCTCTCCCATGCTCCGTCCCCTGCCCTAAGGCTTACGTTTGTATGGCACCTCATTCCTCCCCCTCTCTCCCATAGCTCCTTCCACGTTCCTCACCCCCTGCCAAATGCCCTCCTGCGAGTATAAAAATGTGGGCCCTAGATAAATGGCATCTCCAGGATCCTCTATGACCAGCATTTCACAAAAGTATATTTAATAAGCCCACATAGCCATATTCTGGATCAAACTTCTATCAGTCTCCTCTAAATATATGCTTTTCACACCTAGGGATATGCTTTCTACCTTTTCCAGAGACCAACATTTTAACATATGTCTATGCAGAGCCTAATTCATTCCTGGCACAGCCTCTGGTTATAAATAGCTTGAAATGTTGTTTATCTTGCCTCTAAATTTTCAGCACAGATAAACACAAATTTGAATCCCCAAGGAGCCAGAGAGGAGTATGCAGGGGGAAGGAAACAATGCTACAAGGTTGAGAAGTAACCCTGACAACCCTCAAGAGAGTTGTCAGCTCATGAATCCAGATCAGCCACACTCCACAGCTGGAAGCCAGGTACCTGTGACTCAGCAGGATTAACAGGGCAGCTGTTTTCCTGATTCAGGCTAAAGAGGCCATTAGACTTTCAAGCACCTGGACAGAACCTGACCTTTTCTCAAACACCAAAAAAGTATATAAGTATATAACGTACCCCATGGGCATAGCCTTCTCTAAGCACCTCCACAATGTGAGCTGATAAACAAGTGTACCAGACACATGACTTCACAGTTCTCTATTTTTTTGTGAAATAAGTTATAAACATGGTTTTACTGACTCAATATGAGTAGGGTACATGCTTGGGGTAGCTCTTAGGTAAATATGTCTTCATAACCATGCTATTTAAATTCTCTTATCAGGTGTTTTTCAATCATCTGTAATATGAATGGGCTAGTTTAGGGCTGGGGGCAGTGGATGGGAATGTTTCTACCTGGCTTTCATGGAGATAGGCTCATTCAGTGTGTGCTCCCTAGTCCTGAGTTCTAACCAACAAGGCTGGCCAATTCGTTCACACCTGTTAAGTGTTCGATAACCTCCCTAGGCTGCACTGCACTGCCTCTCAGGCCTTTCATAATTATGTGATCTTATTCTCCTAGAGAATGCCCTTTTCCTGACATGCAGTATGGTAAAAATGGATCCCTTTGGGGCCGGCCCAGTGGCGCAAGCAGTTAAGTGCGCACGATCGGTTGCGGCAGCCCGGGGTTCGCCGGTTCGGATCCCGGGCACGCACCGACACACCACTTGGCAAGCCATGCTGTGGCGGCGTCCCATATAAAGTGGAGGAAGATGCGCATGGATGTTAGCCCAGGGCCAGTCTTCCTCAGCAAAAAAAACAAAGAGGAGATTGGCAGGTGTTAGCACAGGGCTGATCTTACTCAAAAAAAAAAAAAAAAATCGACCCCATCTGTATGCTGCAACTTACATCAAGAGGCAAAGCCTAATTTCCTTCCCCTTGAATCTGGACTCACCTTAGTCCCTTGCCTTGACCAAGAGAATGTAGCAGAAGTGATGTTCTGGGATCTCGAGGCAAGGTCATAAGAATCCTTGCAGCTTCTGCCTGGGTCTCTTGGAACACTTACTCTTAAGATACTCCCTCTTGGAATCCAACCACCATGTCTTAAGAGGACCACCCCACACAAGAGGTCACATACAAATAAGTGCTCTGATGGACAGCCCAGCCCAGCTCCCAGCTGACAGCCAGCCACCACCAGTCATGTAAATGAGCCATCTTTGCCATCCAGCCCAATCAAGCCTTCAGATGACTGCAGCCCAGCCAACGCTGGAACTGCAACCACATGTGGGAAGCCCAAGTGAGAACCAACCAGCTAAGCCAGACAACCCATGGAATGATGAGAAACAATAACAAACCTTGTAAGCCACTAAATTTAGGAGTGGTTTGTTAGGCAGAAATAGATAACCAGAACACACAGAATCATGTGACTCTAGGCTGAGAGGCCCATGAGAAATTGTTACCTAATATTCCAGCAGAACATCACACATCAGCCCAGCTCGGAGCTGGTATTCCATTTCCTTCCCTGAAAGAATGAGACAAGAAACAGCTAGGAGTGGTTCTACCAGGGATAGATTTTCCTGAGTGAGCGTTTTGAACATAAGTGAGAAAACGGAGAATTGACAAATTTTGCAGTCTCCTATTGGGATGAAATGTGGTATAACTAAGCCAGAACTATTGAGAGTATAAGACCATTGGTAATCTTAGCTGATTCTTGCTAAGATTACTTCATTTAAACAAAATCCAATATATGAGCATTCTATCTCTCAAACAAATTTGGGAGTAGTTTTTCTAATTACAAAAGAACTCAGAAAGTAAAATAATAGCTCCTCGTGTATTTAACATATGAATTTATCTGTAAAAATTCAGTTTATAAACAACTCTTCAGGAGCATAAAACAAAGGGCAACCACACTGTGGTTGAAACACACCATGAAATAAATAAATGTATCTTCAGAAATGACAACATTCCCGTTAAAAAGTTTTCCAATCAAATGTTTTGACAGAAACAATAAATGAAGAGTAGTTCCTACTACAAAAAGTATTTCACAGTAAGATAATCATGATTAATCTGTAGGGTCTAGGAAGTCTCTGTGTTGTCATAACTTGGATCTGATTTTCAACCCAAATGGAAAATCATATTTTCTTTCTTCCTCTCAAGGCAGCATTTTTGATATAAATGATCTGTTGGTGAGATTTAAGAATGTTGTGTCGGAGGACCTGTCAGATTCAAAACAAACCCAAGACTATTCCAGCAAATGAGAAATGTATTTATGACATACATAACTTGGGAAAACTGTCAAAGGGAAGGATACAGAGCATCTGGCAGGCTGCTTGTAAGTTATACACATCACTGGGAATAATGACTTCCCAGGTCAGGGTTACGAATCAGAGGCCAGGACAAGCCCTACACCCACATTCATCTCTCGTTCCCTAGTGTGAAACGATCATTCACTAAAGAACGAAAGGTACCCCAATGCACAAGGCAATTAAACTACTTGAGGCAATCAGCTTATTGATTTATTTATTACACTGAGTCACTGGGTGCAGAATGTTAAAACCTAATGTTCCAAGTTTCTAAACTACATTCTGAGTGGATGTTCTGAGCTGGGGAGGAAAAAGGGGAAGTAAGGAAAGGCAGTCTAATTAAAACTCCAAGCAAACATCCCTGTAATAATTAATCCTCTTCCCCCTTCCAGCCCCAATTATATGCAGCTGTCTTTACTGCACCTCCACTTTCGCAGTGGACATAAACCACCATGGGGTACAAACGTGGGACAACTGAAGAACATTCACAAAACGTAAGTGGGAGGTAGGACATGGGGCCGAGGGAGGTGGCACAGGGAGAGGAGGGGAGATCTCTGCAAGGAGCACAGCGCAGGAGAAAACCAAGCCGCTGTAGACAATTTGGTTTAATGAAGGCCAGATGGTACAGCCACTTGAGGAGGCTGAAGGGGGGCAGAAGGTGGGAGTGGGGGGTTGGGAGGGTTAAGAGGGGTGATCAGAGCAAATTCAAGAGGTGCTGGAGCTGGGGCCCTGGGAAGATCAAACAGCCTACCAAAATGTTCAAGAGTTGCAGGGAGACAATTCTGCCCTGAAAGCGACAACTGAGTTTGGAACACTCCAGAAAAGGCCCTATTTATTCAAACATAGGCTCTGAGCGAGCTTGGCAGGCCAGAGGGGTCAGAGAAAAAATGAAATTACCCACTGCTTCTCTTCACTATTCTCTATCCTGTGTTATTATAAGGACCACTCACAGTGGTATCTTGTACTGAGCAAAACATAATCCCGCAGTTAAAGTCACTGTCTGCTGCTAAAATCATCAACCATTTCTAACCCAAACCAATTAGAAAGGACTCATTCAGTCACTCATGCAACTTTTGGCAGGCACTGTTCCACGGGCTGAGGTATAGCAGTGGAATGACAGACACAATGTAGTGAGATAGAGACTCGGGTGATTATAACTTATTAGGGGCTATGATAGGGGAGAGTGCAGGAGCGAAACCAGCTCAAGCTCCAGGGGTAAGGGAAGGCTTTCAGGAGGAGGTGATGTCTGAGCTGAGACCTGAAGGATGAGTTCCAGTTAACCACCATAAAGACATAGTACAGAGATGATTCCAGGGATAGGGAACAGCATGTGCAAAGATCCTGAGGAACAGGATATGGCTCTTTAGCAGCACTGAAAGCCATTCAGAAGCCTCTGGATTACACCATGTTTTGATTATTTGCTCCTTCACTCACCTATAGAGATGAGCGTTGCCAGTATATTCTGTAATCCTTTGAGGAAAGGGCCTGGTCTCCTCATTCAGCTGCAAACTCACCGAAGCACCTTCCATAGCTTGTACACTGAACGTGCA